ACGCTCGTTTATCATACAAGTCTTTTGAGTGGCTCGAATAATGTGGTTGGTAGTCTTAGGGTGTAATTGAGAGTGATGGTAGAATTAGTAATATTGAAAAAAGATATTTAAGTATAATTAATTTTCAAAATCACCATCAAATGATACCTTAAAAATCAATCTAAAGTTATTTTAAAATTCTCTAAAATCAATTTTTTTAATTTATCAAACATGATTCATAGAAATGGAAATGATTTTGACAATAAATATACCTTTACAACAATATGTTAAAAGAGAAACTTAAAAAAAAAAAAAATCGACCGTATATTTAATGGTTAAAATAAAATAATGACAGCGGTCACAGTCGCATTGAATAACCTTTCTAAAGAAATACAATCTCTTCAGATTCTCCAACCTTAGGCTCCCATTTTGGCCCATAATTTTGGTTACAATGTATTGGACTGATGTGGCCCTAAGTTCTCTAGCCTAATACTGGATCCACTCCACTATTCTAATAGTGTTCCCATTTATTTAACTTTTACTCTTTAAATTATATTATATATAATGAAATGGAGCCACTACAAAGGAGCTCTGGAAGTTCGAGACGAGATGATATTTATAATATTTCGATAAAATAATTAAATTTGTATCGATTCATCGATTTTTTTTTATCACTTCTTTATCCTAGCTTCAGATTTAATTTGTTATCCGCAGGGAAGCTAGATGACGATGGCTACAGCAATGAGTTTAGTGGAGTTGCTGGAAGCTCAAGAGGGAATACAAGGTGGTGGCAACAGGCCGAAAGACATCTYTTGTTTATGTGTCAGAGTTTGAGGTTGCCAAGGGTTCATTTGAGACATACAATGAACAGAGTAACTGCAGATGGTTCCAGGCGAGACCTTAGAGAACCAGCAGCATTGATGGCCAGAACAGATCAGAAGAATCTGTCATAAGCTCAAGTTAAACAGTTGAGAAGTACAGAAAAGGGAAACATGAATTTGATAAGCCATCGAGTTCATACCTCAGCTGTCAGACGTTCAGGCGAGCTGGTGAAGTCGCATAGACAAATTAGTGCATTGAAAAAGGGTACGTGTTCTGTTTCTAGTGTAGCGACAGACTTGGGTGGGAGCACAAATAGAGTTTATATTTATGGTTACCTACTTTCATTCTCGTCAAGAAAGAATGTTTCTTCTTTATTAGAGAATAAAACTAAGGCAAATTCGTGATTTATTTAGATCTGAAAGATCAAATTGGTACTTCATCTTTTAACAATAGATTTTTTTAGTATAACAAATATGAGGATGGAGAATTGAACATCCGACTTTTAGAGGGTGAGCAAAGATGCCTTAACCGCTAATTTATGCTCGTATTGACTTTTAACAATAGATTAAGGTAGGCTAATCTTGGTATCTTTATGATGGATTATTCTCTTGATTCGACATAAGAAAACGATCTATAACTTAAAATCTATGAGTTTTAATTTTCCATCGTCCTACTAAAGTTAGGGTGTGATAATAAATAGTTCATGTTTTAATGGTTGAGGCATTCATTGGTGACAATAAAGCACTTGTTTCCTTATTTCAAGCGAAGACAATTAAAAGTTAGGTTCATACCCATCCTAAAAAGTAGTAATAGTTTTAAATCGTCATTTTTTAGTAATTCAACAAGAGAAGTGGAGGATTCAAACCTTCAACCTTTAATAAAGTAAGTTTATGATTTTTAAATCTCAGGAGAACATGTTCACTAAATTACAGTTTAAATCAAAGTCTATTTTCAAAAAATGATAAATTACACTTTTGATCATTAAAAGTACGAGTGAAGAACTTATTTAATCTCTACATTCCAAAATCTGTCATGTTTATCCCCACCTCAACCTTTAAGAAAATGGTTCTAAATTGTTACTCAATTTCCAAACAATATTTAGAACAAAATTTGTTAGATAAAAGAAAGATGTTTATAAGTAATTAATGCAATGGACCCCTCCTATTCAAAAATGGAAAATTGAAATGGTTTGTGATTTTCCACCCACTTTTTTTGAAGTAAATTACAAAGAGGAGAAAGAAATGAGCATTGAAGAAGAAGAAGATAGTGGTTGTTGGATTGATATAATCTGAAAATATGTCAGTTTGGCAAAGGCAAAGCATTCAATTTTGACAGATGAGAGACATTTGAACAAAAACAAAAACAAATCATACACAGACCCCAATTCTACCCTAGGCTTGTGGAGAGCTACCCTCCTTTCTTAAATGACCAATAAACACTCATTTTAGGCTTTAAAACTCCCCGGCGGCAACCGATCAAAGCGAGAAAAGTTTAGAGGTAATTGATATATATCTCCAACCAAGAAATTGTGAGTTCGATCTCCCACCTACAACATATATAAAGAAAACGTTATAGTATACCAAACTCAACAATCAACCTCAACTAAAAACTTTCATCATTAATAGACCATCAATTACGTCTATTTTAGTCTTTTTCGTGAGATTTTGGTTGAGGGTTTTTTTATTTTTAATCATATTCTCACTACATTTTTAATTAATTAAACTTATTTTTATATTCAAAAGAAAAATGAAAAAACTACAATAATTTCCCTTCTCTAATAATTGTTGGTCTGATATTTCTTTTTTTTTTGTTAAATTATAAGTTCAATCCCTACATTTATCGATTTGTATCTAACATAATCTTGAACTTTAAGAAGTGTCTAATATGTCCTTAGACTTTGAATAATGTTGTGTTTAATCCGTTGGTCTTTGAACTTTTAGCTTTATACTTGATAGATCTCTGAATTTTTAACTTTGCGTTTAATATATCATTGACGACACATTTTTAAGTTTAGGAACATATTGAGCATGGAAATTGAAAGTTCAAAATTTTATTAGATATTATGTTAAAGTTTAGAGACCTATTAAATTAACATAAGATTGAAAGTTTTAGAGACCGAGTTTGTATCTAATAGGTTCTTGAACTTTTAAAAGTGGCTAAGAAGTCCTAATTTACTTTAAAAGAAAAATATAATTAAACAGTACTTATACTTTCATCGTTGTGTCTGATCAATATCTGAAATTTAAATGTATCGAGGGGAAGATTGTTGGGTTTGTCAGGTGTGCAAACAAAGTTTCATTATTGGTTAAGGAAGAGAGTAATCTATTGATATAGATGGGAACAATTATCATCATTTATATGAGGCCTGTCATATTATTCTCGAGTAAGATATTGATTGGATTTTTATGACTTTGTTGTATTAATTAATTTATGTTTATTCTCGTGGTAGAAATGTTTTAGTAAATTTTAATCAATAAAATAAAATAAAATAAGATAAAAGAAAATTTTAAACCTACTCATAGGCTTCAACTTTTCTCCTTTTAAATTTCCAATTTTATTGTCTATTTGATTTTAATTTCATTTCAATTCTTGAATTTCCCAAAATTTTTTACTTTGTCAAAATGTCAAATTTAGTCCTTAAAAGTTAAATAATAATAATAATAATTACTTTTTATCTATGGACTCTTCGGATCTTTTACTTTAGTTTTTTATTTTTATCGATTCTATTTTAGTTCTTAAACTTTAAAAAATAGCTATTTTTCTACTTAATATCATTCATTTAACATTATATGTGGATCCAATATATATCCACTTGCACGTTAGTACATATATACTTGAAGCTATGTGAAGTAAAATAAAGATGAGGATCAAAATTATTATTTTTTAAAGTTTATAAACTAAAATAGACATTTAGAAAAAATAAAGATAAAAATTGGAATAAACATGAAAGTTCAAATATCAACATTGATATATTGAAAGTTTAGTGTGGCTAGAATTAAAAATTAAGAGCCAAAATAGAATTAAAAATTTTTTTAATCTTTTTTGTCTTTTTATCTTGTTATAATGTTTATGTTATTTCTATTTTGGTTTGTCTACGTCTAACTTTTAATAATTTTTAACTATCATTCAGAAAACTCCCAAAAAAATGACCATTAGTAAATATGAGCTGTGTCTTCATTTTTAATTTGAAATTTTATTAAAATGAAGTTTAAATATTATTTTAGTTCATATGGTATTAAAACGCTTAATTTGATTATATACTTTCAATTTTTGTTATCTTAGTTTCTATACTTTCAAAACTTCCATTTTGGTTTTGTACTTTTAAAAAGTAATCATTCTTGATATATATCTCATTTTTTTTCTATCATAATTTTAGCATGACATTTAACTCACTCAATTTTTTTGAAATATAGCAATAATTTTGTATTAAAAGATTTTCAATGTAAAATTTGTGTTAAAATTTTACAAATATAGATCAAACGGACATTTTGAAAATACAAAAACGGAATAAAAGTCGGAAGTATAGAAATTAAAATAAATTAAAGTTAAAAGTATACGATGGTAAATAGTATTTAAATCTAAAAAAATAATGGGATAATAAATTTGGTTCATTATGAGATGGAATATGTAATTCATTATTTTATGGGTGAAAAATCAATATTTTAACTGAGTTTTTGTAGGGTAGAAAGGGGACAGGAACTTTATAAGAGAAAGTCTACCAAATTTTAATATTATATTTTTCTTTTCAGCTCAATGGGTATTTTTTCAATCAAGTTTTATGGAAGTCTTACCTTTATTATAAAAAATGTTATACAATGTGATCGAAAAAAATTAAATTCAACTAACATGAAAATTTAACCTATCTTATTTGGTAAATAATGTTTTATCCACTCGGACTGTACTCGAATTGATTACATTGGTGTGCATATATATAAATTTGTTAGATGTTAAAATATTAGAAATTGATAGGTTGTTTTTTGTAGTACAACATGTAAGGGTACGAGATCGAACTCACAAATTCTTGATTGGAAATATATGACAATTATCGCTGAGTTATATTCATTTTGACAAAAATTAATAGGTTGTTTTAATAATTATTAATGCTTTCTTTCATTCTCAATTATTGTTTAAAAAATTAAACATTAATTGTTTTGGTGATCTTTTCTTTAAAAACAGAATTCTTATCAAACAAGGGAAACTTAAAATAACATTCTAATTCTTATAAGGTTCTAGAAGTAACTTAAAACATTCTACAAACATTTTTTTTTTACAGTCATATTAAGATACATGACACAAAACTCGATCAGACCAGACCCAACCCAACTCAAATAATGATCGTTTTCAAGACTCGAGACGTGTTGCACCGTGTCGCATATTCATGTCATGTGGGGATCGATTATATTTCGAGTAGGACTACTAGTTCAAGAGGGGCAAGGTGTTGGGAGGGGTAGTTTTGGAAGAAGAATGGGTTGGGAATAGGGTATGAAAATGCTTGCAATTAGGGCAAGATGGGGAGGATTTTGAGAGAATGACAAGAAGATGGCAATTGAGACAAGGCAAAGCCACCATGTTACTACTACTGTTCAAACCTCCATGTCCATGTTCTTGTCCATGTCTGAAATTTATCATCAAATTTTCAGCTGGTAATGATGATGATGAAGAAGAATTAATGTTGTTGAGCTCCAACTCCAACTCTAACTTTTGGTGATGATCATAATCTTCTTTTGGCCAATTCCAACTCTTCCTCAATGTTTTTCTGTTTAGATAGTACATTTTCCCTGACTGCACCAAATAATAATTATATATACATATATATATATATATATATCTGATAATATAAAGAGAAGTGAGAATATTAGAATAATAAATGAAGTTAAAATGGAAATTAAGATAGTCTGGGGGTTAAGATATTGGAAATCTGCATTAATTTAATATGTATTTTCAAATGCTGTCACAACTTTTCATATATAAATATATTTCAAATATAGTTTAAATGTGACATTTTGTAGTTTATTTATGTTACATTTGAGTTTAGATGGCGCTATTTTTGTAAAATTTGAACATAATTGAAAACACATATTTACTTTATACTATATTGTGTGTGTAAAATCCTTTTTTTTTTTTCATGAGGAGAAGGTTTGAATATTCTCCGATGGTAATTATCATTGCAAGGCTACTTTTAAAAAAATGAAAAATAGATATTAATAAAATACAGTAGCAAAAAGTCAAACTCAAATATAAATTAAGAAAAAGTTAAAATTATGTTATATTTGACATATATATGAAAAGTTGTAAATATTAAGTTGTGGAAATTACAATAAAGGAAGGAAAACAAAAACGCAAATTTATAAAAATGTCATTATTTTTTCTTTTTTTTCTTTTTTTTTTTAAATCATTACTTTTTAGTCGGTCTCACATGATTGTATAAGTTTGTAATTTATATCTTTTTTTTTTGTGTAAAGTTTTAAATCATTTATGCTATGATATGAAATTTCCCTGGCTGGAAAGAAGGAGAGAGATAAGCATAATATTATATTCCACCAATGTTGCTAAAAGGAAGAGAGAGAGAGAGAAAGAGAGATAATAAGACCGAGAAACCACACAATTTATAAATCAAATAATGCACTTGCACGGGTACTGGCGGAGTGGTCTCGASACACCCAGCGTCGAGGTTCGAATCCCACTTTCGTCTGTGTTCGATAATTTAGTGGTAGCCGCACAAATACGTATCCCGACAGGCGATTTCCGAGTCAAAAAAAAATTATAGACCAAATAATGAAAAATTAAAATAGAGAGCTAGAGAGGTAGACCTGAAGATCAAGACATTGCTCCCAATCAAGAGGAAGAGGATCCTTGAGTTGAAGATCAACACTTGCTTTATGATCATGAAGAACAAGAAGCTTCCTCTTCTTAGAACATGATTTGCTTTCAACTAATTTTTGTGGAGAAGAACTCATCATCATCATCTCATCATCATCATCACTTATTTTCACAAACTTTGTTGGAGCCAAGGACAGCTCAGGAACTTCCATCCAAACTTCAACAATATATTTCAATAATATCCTCCAAAATTACAACTCTCTCCCTCCCTCCCTCTCTCTCAAACCAACAACTTTGGGAATATGAAGAGGAAAATGTAGAGAAGAGAGTGAAAATCTTTCATTTCTTCTGATAGTTTTGGTTTGATATGCCAAAACATGCACAAAAAGAGTCTTAAATTTGGCCTTCCATCAAACCCATTTGGACAGCCCAAGCATTTAAGTTGACAAGTGGATATCACTTTAATGCCCCTTCCAAAATCAATCCTACTCTCTCTTTTCTCTTCTCCCCTCTCCTTAATTTCTCGGCATTTATGCCCAAATCTACACTCGTAGTATCTACCCCCTCGATTCGTATTGTGAATCTTTCTTGATGAACGATTAAATGTTAAGTTTGGTCTTCTGATCTTTCAGGGTGGGTAAAAAATGTCTAATAGAGATCTCTAAAGTATTTTTAATGTTATGGCCAATGATTCAATCTATGAATTTTGAAAAATATATAAATAAGTTCTTAAATATTGATTTTCAATTCTGTATCTAATATCTTTTAACTTTCAAATTATGCCTAAAAAGATTCTTGTCTCATAGCCAATTCGAGCATTTTGGTCGGTGGGATAGAGCATTTATTACTTATTTCAAAGGTTGCTGGTTCAATCATCTCCCTGCAATTATAATCCTTGATTTATTAGATACGTTGTAAAGGTTGGGAAACTATTGGACATAATTAATTGAAAGTTTAGGGACTCACATTAGAYACTTCAAAAAGTAGACCTATTTACGCACAAAATTAAAAATTTAGAGATCTATTAAACCTTTTTTTAGGTTTAAAAACTTATTAAACACAATTTCAAAGTTTATGGTTCAAATTTGTAATTTAACCCTAAATAATTCTTTAATGTTGCTGGTTCAATATTCATTCTTAAATAATGCTAACGTGCTAAATGATAAATAGAAGTGTAATATCCATATTACGCTACATTCTTAAAAATAAAAAAAATAAAAAAATAAAAAGGAAGAAAAGAAAAGAAAAGTTCCACATCATCACAACTCAAATCTTTCTTGCTTTTAGTTTCAGGAAAGTACTATTCTAACAATGACCTATTACCATTGATACTCAGCCACGTAATCAATAAATATATTATTTTTTATATGACACGTGTCTTTTCATTTATTTTAATTAATTGAAAATAATTTACCTACTTTACTATGTATATATTATTTAAACAAATTCTTACCYCATATATATATTTAAACAAATTATTAGCTTTATTTTAAATTTTTTTGCGCCAATGAACAACTCCCAAAACCACTCTAGTTCAACAGTAATGCATATATATCTCCAACCAAGAGGTTATGAATTCAATGTCACACCCTATATATTGTACTAAAAAARACTCTATCACAAAATTCAATCCATAAATTATTGATGTGAATGATAAGAATGACCTAATAAAATTTTGGATAATCAATAAGCTACTAAATTACAACTTTTGCTAATTTTCTTTGCACATGGTCATTTGATTTATTTAGTGCGTTTTGTCTCACTTTAATATCTAATAACTAAATCAAACTCTTAATTTGATTTCTAATAAGATCATTGATCAATTAAATGATACTTTTTAAATTCCAGATACCTATTAAATACAAAGGGAAAATTTTAAAGATGCGTTAGTCACTCACTAAAGTTCAAAGATCTACAAGACACAGGATTTACAGTTTAGAGACCTATTACACATAAACTTGAAAGTTCAAAGATCGAACTTATAATTTAATGATTTAAGAATTAATCGAAGGGCGCGATGCAAGTGATGATCTCCAAAATATAAGATGTGATTTAAAATTATATTTAAATTTCAAAAGAAAAAGAAAAGGAAATTATCACGAGGATTTTGAAAACTCCAAGAAATTAAATTCATCTCAAACATTTGATGATGAAGTTTGCAATTAGGTTTTCGCACGTGACAACCAAGAGGGGCTTAACTTGTGTAGGTGGCAATCAAAATCATTTGAAGGAACTCAATTTGGTCCAAAAGGGCTTCATGTTTTCTAGTGTCAATTTAGTAATTCTATAGATTTTCCAATCCCCAAAAGGAATTTTTATTTTGTTAAAATGTTATATATGTTTGGACCTGAAAATCGAATAATCTCAATTTTATGAAAATATCGATAAATATTGATATCAATAGATATTTTTGAAAAAGTTATAAAAATAAAAATAAAATCATACTAAGTTTTTAAAGTATTAATATTATGTCTATCTTCAAATTAATGATATTTTGTTGATTTTCTTTCCGATGCCATATTTCGATTTCGTACCTATAGATATATGAAAATGTCGACATCGATAAAAATTTAATACCATATATATATATATATAGATTGATAAATAGATAACCTTCAAAAATAAATAAATATATCTATATATATATTAATAGATGGATAAAGACATTGTGTAAATATCGTTTTCTCGATAAAGTACCTATTATTATCTTAAAAGTGAGTAGTTTGATTTCTCCTTATCTCATTGTTCAACTCAGGAATAATAAAATACATTTCAGTAGTTTAAATCTTTGTTGATATTCAACTTTTCATTTTTACTTTTTTTTTTTTTTTGTTACTGTATTTTCAAAAATTTTATTTTGATATCCTTAAACTTTATATAGATTATAATGGTTTTCTAATTTTGTTGCTGAATTTTTGTGTTGTAATAAATAGTGAAACAAAGTCAATCTCTTTTAATGTAATATGGCCATAAAAAACTCTTGTGAATCCAAATTTTGTAACCTGCCTAAGATCAAGATTTAAAGTTCAGATTTGATTCTTAGTGGTTGTGGCCATTTTTCTACAACCTAGATGCGTCACCTTTGAACTACTTTCTAAAATAAATATAGTTCCTCCGAATCAATATAGGATTCCTCTCAACTAAACACGCTTAATTTATAAATTTCTAATTAAGTTCATCGAAAAGAAGATGTACCTTGTTGGTTTAACTATGATAATAACTATCCATTCTTAAATCATRCTTGCAATGGTCTCACAATCTCTCCCATCCATATATAGTGTTCATTCGTTCGTTCATGTATACTCCTCTACTCATATGCGTCACAAATTTTTTTAAAATGTGATTAACGATTTAAATTGAATAATGGGTTCAAATCTCATGATGGTCACCTACCTTAGGAATTAGTAATTCCTATATGTTTCCTGACACCAAATGTTGTAGGATCAGGTGGTTGCCTCGTTAGATTAGTCGAGGTGCAGGTAAGCAGGCCCGCGCAACAATATTTTATCGTGTACTATGCCACTTTATTTTGCTTACATGTGTACTTTCATCTACCATTTGTCTGACAAATGTGCTAATATTTGTCTATTAGATATGATAATTAGATCATCTTTAATTAGAGTGGTATACACAATGGCAAATACTGCATAGAATCACAATTCAAAGTCAAACACTTCCATCCGTGCTAGTTCTTATACTGGAACTCTCACTTTCACTACTATTTCCACCTTCACCACAAATGTAACTATAAATGTAACTGTCACTGTAATTGTGAATACCACTTAAATGTAACTATCAATACAGATTTGAGCCCGAAGATAACTGTCAATGCAACTATTAATGTGATTATTCCAACTATATTTAGTATCATACATGTAACCATTATAGTTATCATACATGTAACCATTATAGTGGGAATCATCACTCTTAGATACATTATTTTTATAAGTAGAGTTACGAAAACTATAAAAAGCACTTTCTAGTTCACTTACAAAAGAAGGATCATTGTCAATCTCAAAATTTTGATTTTCAATATCCAAATATATGGAATAACAGCTGCTATTACTATCCCTAMCTAAAAAAGTGTATCAGAAAAATACAGAATTTACTATTTTCGGATAATACACAGGAAAAGACAAGCGAAAATCAGAAAAAAGAGGCCGATTTTATATCACCCTTCAATTCGAATTAGCAAAAGCAATGTCTCCTTGCATAATATGGATTCCAAACATTCATGATCTGGATGTGAATGAGTCGAATTACTTATCCCTTGGTCTATTAGTGAACTAT